CACTGAAAGACCTGCCAGCCTCAGGCTCAGTTTTCAGACAAGTTTGAGACTGCTGCATTCCACTTCCTGAACACGGCAGCTTTCGATTTTGGACCCAAGGAACAGAAAAGCAGTTGTGAGAAAAGGATTTGGTTTGCCTCTGCACTTCTAAGGAAACTCGTTTAGAAGAGATCAAAACAGAGCCAGAAACGAGGTAGCAAGGCTGTGAAATACGGACCGGTTGTAAAGTCACCCAAATGGAATGCCAACGTGAAAAATACCAGGCAAATCACATCCTGCAGCCCATCAAAAGCAGGTAGGAAAAGTATGAAATATAAGAGATAACACAGTCCTCTAGATTAAGTAACCAGTAAGTACTTACCAGGATGAGTCAAAACTGTACTATTTGGGATCCTGATTACAGTTTTCTACTGTCAGCACCAAGGAAAGATTAATTACTTATTAACTCAGGCACTAGGATATAGACTTCACATTGTTTTTTGTGGATAATATCCTAGAAGTATTTGAAAAGAAAATTATACACTGCTGTTTTTCCTTCTGAAGTGTCTACCAGTCATACTGCAGTATTTATGGATCCAGTTTCACAATCTCTTAGGGCAGTAGATGTAGGGAATGCTGCCAAAACAGGTCATTCTACCTGCTTTCATCTTTTTACTCGCATTACTGAACTGGTAAAGTGAGGATAACTAGGGACATCTACTAAACACTGCTAGGACTCTTCCTAAGGACTAAACAATTCTTTAATTTTATATGATCCACTTATTACAATGTGGTCTATAACCTAGGATCAAATGTAAGTGAAGAAGACACACAACTGTATCCTGGACAGTGGGATCAGGGAAGAGGAAACTGTAACATTCCCTGAAAATAAAGAAATAGACAGCTACAACCTGAACTTAATTGAGAAATAATGAGAGAGTAGAAAGTAGACTAAATCACAAAAAGCTTCTATGTTTTGGCAGAAAAGTATGGAAAGAGAATAAATGCACCATCACATGTTAAACGCTTGTAAACAAAAAAAGAGATGATCGTTGAAGTCTGTCCGTGTGCTGTTCGGGTAGAGGTTCCATGCTTCTCTAGCAACTGCAACCGCGGTGACAAGAGTGGCATATTTTTATGGGTGCAAAGGTGGGAGCAGAACTGCCTGCACATACGGATGTACAGAGTGCCAGGGAATAAGGGCCACTGGCAACGTTGGGCAGGTCTTGTGCACGTACAGAGAAACCAAAGAAAAGGCTCATTGTCCGGGCTACCTGGAGCAGTGCATAATTACGCGCACATGATGAAACGCGCTCCGGGCTCTGAGGAGCGCAGGGTACCGGGGCCAAACGCCCGCAGCATCCGCGGTCCAGGACAGGACCCCGGGCAGGCCGGCGAGCGGCTGCGGGGCGCGGGGGAGAGGAGTGCGCGGAGGGAGGCTGCGGGGGCAGGCAGGCGGTCGGGCGGCTCGGGGCCCGCTGCACGGGGAGGGGGACGAGCCCCACCGCACCCGGAGAACGCCGGCCGGGGCCGGCATCGCGCGGGGGAGGAGGGCGGGCGGGAGGCGGGCGGCCCCGAGTGCCCCCCAGCCCCTGGGCAGCCCGGCACCGCGGCGGGCCGGCGCGGAGCTCCGGGGGCGCGGGGCTGCTCCGCCACTCGCGAGGAAACTTTCCCGCCCGCGGCCCCCGCCGCCGCCCTCGCCCCCGGGGCGGCAGGTCGCCGGCCCGCCCGGCCCCTCTGCCCTCGCTGGCGCTCGCCCCGCCGCCCCCTCGAGCCGCGCCCTCCCCTCACCTGGGCGGGAGCGGTGCCGGCGGCGCTCCGGGGCCGCGCTCCATCGCTGCGGCGGGAGGGACCAGCCCGGCGGCGGTGACAGCTCCGGCTGAGGTGAGCGCCGCCGCCACTGAGCAAGCGCGGAAGCGGCCGGAGGGCGGGCGGCCCCCGCGATGATGTGGCCCATGATGCGCAGCAGCCGCCGCCGCCACCGGACCCGGCGGGGCTGGGGAGGAGTTGGGCGCGGCCGAGGGGACGGGATGGGGCGCGGTGCCCGCGGTCGCTCACAGCCCGGCCCCGCAGGGCGAGCCCCGGCCCGTGTCACCCCGCGCTGGGGGACCCGCCGCCGCCCCCTCTCCGCTGCTCCCTCCCCGCTGCTCCCTCCCGGTCCCCTCGGTGGCAGCTGAGTCCTTCTGCACCCTCCTCGGTCCCCTCCCTCGGCGAGGGCCCGGCCGGCGCCCCGCAGCCGCGGGGACCAGAGGGCTGGGGAGAGGGGCTCAGGGACGCTCCCCGGGCGGGGCCGGCGGTGGCGGTGCCTTTGCTTCCACTCGCAGTAGCTTTCTTGGCGATGTAGCACAAGAGCCGCTGTTTCCAGATTGTCAGCTACCGGGACATTGTCCCTCTTTCCTGCCAGTTGGCTAAAAGCAGCTTCCTCAAGAATCCAGTTTTTTAAGTGTGTGGGTCGGTTGGAATCCTTTTTCTTGCCCAGCTAGACTGTATACCCTGCACACAACATGTAAGTCTGCAAGGAACTCCCTTGCTAAGTACAAAGCCAAGGCCTTGCTGGGCTCCCGTTTTGAGACACACTTTATATTAATACATTGAAACAGTCAAGCCAGCTAAATTTATGCATTTATTATCATTATTTATACTATTCCTCCATTGTTCCGCAACAACTTGAAGTAGTGAACATGCCTTAAGTGGGAGGTGAAAGGGAAGAAAGAGGAAGAAAAGAGAACTGAGATTTAATGATGGTGACAGCAGCCAAGCCTACAGCATCCCTTTTCTTTTCTACAGACAGAACAAAAGACAGCATGGGCAAGTCACCAAGTGTCTGACATAAACTGGCACTAGCTGTGGTGGGGATGTGTGGCAAAGCAGAAACTTAAGCACAGGAAAATGTATTTCCAGGACTGGGGCCAAAACAATCTGTGCTACAAGAGTGAAATATATGGCATCAGCTTGAACTCTTGAGTCAATACTGCATTAAATGAATGAAGCAGCCCAAACCTCAGAGCTATTAATTCAGCTGTCTCAACCCTGAATGTATTGGGAATTTGGGCTACAGATCTGGTTGTTTCCCTGCCCTAGTAGTAACCGTATATATCCATGCCCTGTGTGTGCTCACGTGTTACACAGTGTGGATACGTAGCTGGGCCACCTTGCAAATCAGATAATGATCACATCTGCCTCTGTTGCCAACAGGTTAGAGTATAAACCTCAGGTTTGGGAATAACACCTGAGGCTGCTATTTCTGGCTTTTCTAATTGCATGTCTGGTGATCTTGGGCAATTATTTCATCATTCCCTACTACAGGTTCCTTGGCAGCATTATGCCCCTCCCTCCACTGAAATCACATAATACCCATGGATGAAATATAGTATTTGAAGTTCCCACACTATTATTTTGCATTGTGTGCAAATTCAGACAGACTCACTTGAGGCCCAACGTCTCTTGCAGAGGCCTTGCAGAAGGTTTGCCTCCTACTGCTTTGGATTTGTTAACGCCAAGACACTGGGATCTGGGTGGTTTGTTGGGTTTTCGTTGTTTTGTTTTTTGGGTTTTTTTTCCCCCCTGTGTTCTTTGCAATGAGGACCTATAAACACCACTTACCTGATTGCTACTTTTTCTCACTTTTGGCTTGTACTTCCAATCTCGTTTCTTATGAACCATTCAGTTCTCTTTTTACAGTTTTCACATCGTCTAGAGTATAAACAGATAAAGGCCAGAAACTGCAGAACAAATCCTGAATAACAGGCTGGCCAATGTCAACTGAACTTGCTGGTTGTGTAAGTTTCTTTTCCAAAAGATGATTAAAACTCCCTCAGGCTCTGAAATTTAATTTTAGGTGCATTTGTCAAATTCTGACAACGAAAATGGGAGAGTTTTCAGAGACAAGCAGCTACTGGCAGGCATTCAGGTGACTTTACCTGCTGGCAGCTTGGCTCCACATGCTCATGGTTCTTCTAGGTGATGGGATGGACTTTTTCGTGCCAAATCACGGAATCAGTTATCTGGTCCAACCTCCCTGCTTAAGCAGGG